AATATCCTATACTTAACACAAACATATAGTTAACTTATAACCTAAAGGTCAGTCTAAATTACTGCTGATAAAAGTGGGTGAAACCATTTATCACTACATAATCTATCTACTTCCATTTTAATGCTGTATTTCATAAACCAATAAATCCATCATAAAACTTTGTACTTTGCACGAGGGCCTTATCTAAACACATTCATTACGTGTCCCTCCTGGGGTTTCAACCAGTGAAAATCCACTAGGTGGTATGAGCACTGTAACACCATCCAATCATTCTAGACTTTGATATCAACGGAGCTAAAGGCTTATTTAGCGTGTTAGCAGAAGTTATGCAGCATTAAGATCACTAAGGAAGGAAGAAACTGTTGCTGTCATTTTACTGTTTCCTGTGTTTTGTCTTTATTAAAGGAAAATATTAAGGATTATAAGACAACTTACCTTCTGCAAGTTACTGGAATAAGAATGAGGTAAGAGGCTAAATGATTCCAATTTATTTACTAAATTTATATATTCAATTCTAGAATACAATGAAATTTGAAGGGGGATTCTATTTTTAGTTTAATCCTATACTTATGTTTGAAAAGCTTTAGGAAACAATTTTGGAGAAAAATTTTTTAATTTAATGAACATTATAAAACTTTTTCACCAAAAGGTCATTATTCTTAACATGAGCAAGAGGTAGTTAAAGCTAGCACTCAGGGGCACCTGAGTGAGGCGGTCGGTCGAATACCTGACTCCTGACTTCAGCTCAGGTCATGATCCCAGGGTCTTGGGATCAAGCCCCGCATCAGGCTCTGCACTCAGCAGGGAGTCTGCTTGGGATTCTTCTCTCTCCCTACTGCCCCCCCCTTCCTGAACGCGCTCTCTCTCTAAAATGAAAAAATAAATCTCAAAAAAAAAACAAACAAAAACTAGCACTCAAATTGAACTGGAAATTCCTTGACTGCTCCTAGTAAATTTCTCATAATTTCCAGAAATCAGGGGCTAAGTTTCCTAAAAGCACAGATTATTGCATTAATAATGCTGAATGGTAAAATCATCCAAAATAAACAACTTCTTTTCCTTTCTAGGTGGCGAATGTTCCTAAGTTTTACCTTTTTTAATGCTAAAAAAGTATTTGTCTTTATTAACTAGGAAAAGATTTCTACCTAAATTGTAACTGCAGATTCAGAAAAATCAGTAACGCTGAAGTCTGAAATGGAATTATATCCTTAGCAAATACAAATGCAAATATGAAGTGCAGACGAAAACATTAATTCAAATCAAAATTAAACATCAGAGTTTCAAATCTACCAGTCTCTAAACCTATTTAGAGCATGAAAAAATCAAGATTTTCCTTTGTGAAACAGTATAATTATGGTTTTAACTTACAGACTTTTAACCAGAAAAGCAGAAGGAATCTTCTGGTTTGCTTAATGGGGTTATCAAGTGTAACAGCAACTCCATGTGGACTGTGTGCCAATTTCCAGTGGAGATGCTGTTACTTTTGATGGTTACCAACTCACTACAGTAGGAAGATAGATCCAAGAAAGACAGAAAATCATAGTCACTTGATTAACTTGCTTACAGAGGAAAAAAAAAACCTTTCATACTATCTTAAAAAACTGACAAATAATTAAGAATTCATATCCGTCTTCTTAAATCAAGTGTCATGTCACATGAAGGACCGGACAACAGAAGATTAGAGTCATCACTTGGAAACGGTGTGCAGGAAAATGACCTATGAATTGACAGACAATTTGGCTAAGTTTGTCTGTCATTTTTGTAGGCCAATATTCTGTATATCTCTTCTACTTCAGAATCAGAATTAAACGAGCATCATGCAAGCAACACAATGGGAGATGCACAGAAAACAATCTGTAACACAAATGTATGAATATATTGACTATAAATAAAATATAAATAACAGCTGATGAAAATTTGCTTGTGTTTTTCTGACAAAGCTCACATTTATTTCACCTAACTTAGTGACCACCAGTCGACTCATACCATTTTACTGCCATGATTAAATAATGGTCAAATAAACCAATTTGTTGTTCTTGTTAATATATACTTATGTCCACCTGAATCACTTTGAGGAAATTCCCTAAAAATTCTGTCCTCAAATGGTAAAAAGAGAGAGAGAGAGAGAGAGAGAGAGAAACAATGACAATGCCTTATAAACATTCCTTAAAAGAAAACTCCACAGTGTGGAATTTTAAACAATACTTGTGTAAATTTATCTAAACTTTAAGGTATTAAGGTATCACTGGTTCACCTCAGACCATGCTCTCAATTATAAGAACAATTGAATTACAATTACAAGAACAATGTGAGCAATGGTATTTAGGACAAAGAGCCTTAGCTCTCGAAACTGAAGTAGTAATATTGAAGTAATAATACTGAAGTAGCCTTACAATGACCTCCTGGCCTCTAACCTCCAGTTACTTTTCCTAAAATACACTCTCACTCCTCATGCCTATTTAAAACTTTAAACTACTTAACCCAGTATTCAAGACTCACTACAATTTGCCCCAACCAATCTTACTTGGTGTGTATCTTTCTAAAACCCTCCTCCCAACACCCCACAGTACTTTTATGGTTCCTATTTAGGTGCCATGCTTTCCTCCTCCACGCCCTCAGCTCCTGCTGATCCCTCTACTTGCAAAATACTTTGGCCTGTTTCCTACCTAATCATTAAGCCCCACTCAATGCTGTATCCTCTGTGGATAAAGCAAATGAGCTGTTTCATGGCTCGGTGTTTGCCAAGGCAATGCCTTCAGTTCTTCCCTGAGCCGTATTGCCATAAGGTGTCAGATCACCCATGAAGCAATGATAAAATGTGTATTTATTTACTTATTTATTTATATTTTTAAAAGATTTTATTTATTTGACAGAGAGAGACACACAGTGAGAGAGGGAACACAACAGGGGGAGTCGGAGAGGGAGAAGCAGGCTTCCTGCTGAGCAGGGAGCCCGATGTAGGGCTCTGCTCCCGGACCCTGGGATCATGACCCGAGCCGAAAGCAGACACTTAACAACTGAGACACCCAGGTGCCCTAAAATGTATATTCAAATTGTAAAGGAACTGGGGCTGCTGGGTGGCTCAGAAGGTTAAGGGTCCAACTCTTGATTTCAGCTTAGGTTGTGATCTCAGGGTCATGGAACTAGGCCCCACACCAGGCACTACGGTGAGTGGGGAGACTGCTTGAGATTTTCTCTTTCCCTCTCCCTCTGCTTCTCCCCTCTCCCACTCATATGCATGCATACACACACACACACACACACACACACACACACACACTCTCTCTCTCAAATAAATAATCTTTAAAAATAAACAGTAAATTGGAAAGCAACTTTCACACAAAAAACACTAAGAACTACCTAATATGTGGCTAAAGATGATTTTTTTTAAAGATTTTATTTATTTATTTGACAGACAGAGATCACAAGTAGGCAGAGAGGCAGGCAGAGAGAAACAGGAAGGGAAGCAGGCTCCCTGCTGAGCAGAGAGCCCGATGTGGGGCTCAATCCTAGGACCCTGAGACGATGACCTGAGCTGAAGGCAGAGGCTTAACCCACTGAGCCACCCGGCACCCCTAGATGATTAAAACAAAACAAAACAAACCCAACCCACTTTAATCAACATTTTAAAAAACCCTAAAATATATGCAACAATTTAAAAAAAACCCTAAAGAAACACTGATAATGCTGACAACAAAAAGTAGAACATTTTTGCAAAAATTCTGGTCTATCTACAGTCTCTTGAACTCCCCAGTCCTTACTTTCTGGCCTCTATGCCCTCACTGGATCCTCAAGTGATAAAAGGTAAAAATATTTATCAAAATGGGCTCAAACTTTTTACTCATGCTAAAACATGATTTAGCAAAAATTCCATTTACCAAATTAAAACAAAATTACTCAAAGAAAATGAAAACTTATGATGTATTCCTAAAAGGAATGATTAATATTCCCCTTTCCATATTTGTTAGTAACAGCAAGACCAAAAACCTCCCTAGTTTACTAGAAGATAAACTAGCCAGCCTACGATCTCACGATGATCTCAAAGCAAGGACCATGTTGATCTTGTTCACTGCCTCAAGAAGAGACTAGCATCTGCATCAGGAAACAATCTTCTTTCTACCATATAAGCTTTTCTACCCTGAACTGTTGACTATGCCCATGTATTATCTTTTCAAAAGAAAAAAAGAAAGAGAAGAAATCGTTGGGAAGTTAAGCATCACTAGAATAAATATAATTTTGTGCATTAAAGAAACATTATAGTTTCTTTAATTTTGAAGATCTGTAATTACATAATGCCATTTCTATTAAGAGACAGTAGCTTATGGGCAACTGGGGGACTTAGTCGGTTAAGTGTCTGCTTTTAGCTCAGGTCATGATCCCAGGGTCCTGGGATGCAAGTCCCATGTTGGGCCCCCTGCTCAGTGGGGACCTGCTTCTCCCTCTCTGCTGCTCCCTGTGTTTGTGCTCTATCTCTCTCTTAAATAAATAAACAAAATTTTAAGAAAGAAGAAAGAAAGAAAGAAAGAAAGAAAGAAAGGAAGGAAGAAAGAGAAAGAAAGAAAGAGAAAGAAAGAAAGAAAAAGAAAAAAAAAGAAAGAAAGAAATGAATAAAGGAGAGGAAGGAAGGGAGGGACAGGGAGTAGCCCAAAGTAAGAGGGACCCTATGTCCTAAAGAAAAACTGTATACCAGGATGCCCTCCTGAACACTGTCCATCTTTGGATTCCTGACACCTGATTCTAGCACAATGCTATAGGCACACAGAAACAATGAATTCCATGGAAAAAGTATCAGAGGCTTTGCTTCTAAGTATCCATATTGAAAAAGTATAGTTTTTAAAATGTCAACCACATGAAAGCGTCTTCTTCAAATTATATTTTACTCCCGTCAACAAGACTGAGTATGTATTTAACATGTATCAATTCTCAACAGTCCATTTTTCTACTTTTGAAGAAAACATAGCTCACTTTAAAATGCTAAAAATATGTAGAAAGAAGTCTACCTGTTGATCAAGAATTCATCTTTTGTCTTGTGATGAAACACAGGGATTGGAACACCCCAAACTCTTTGCCTTGATATACACCAATACGGCCGTCTGTCCATTGTTTCAACCATGGCATTCAGTGCTGATCCAGGAATAAATTTCACTTTTTTTAACAATTCCTGCAATTGATTCACAAATCAAATCCAGTGAGAGTAAGCAGATCAAATTTTCCAGAATTGCCATGATTTATCCTAATGGTTATTTATTTTGGATGTTTATTCACATGTCTCCCTCCCCATGTCCAAAAAGCTAAACTAAAAAACTACAGATTTTAGACCAAATGAAACAAAGTTTAAACAGGGCCACAAAGGATCTAATAAATAACATCTAGAGCAGACTTCACCACGAGAGAATGTGACAAGAAACCATATACTAACTTCCAAGCACCCTAGATCAAAATTGGCAATAAGAAGGTTAGCAGAAGCATTAAACTCATTAAACTGTAGTTAAAATCCATTCAAGCTTGATTTCAATGATAATTTTTAAGTACTTAAAGAATAAGCTACTGTTTTAGGTTAATAAACAAGGATTACAATAGAATCTAATTTCATATAGTATGGTTTACAACACAGAAAACACTCTCAAAATCACAGTTACTTCCTATTTAATTACTCTCTCTCAAGAACTCCTCCTACCTCCAGCCCCACAAAAAGTTGTTTTTTATTTCATTTGTCAATTACCAAAAGATGAATTGTATAGGAAAATGTCCAGTATTACTCTCCAGAAAGGCCAAAATACATTAACTTCATTTTTGAGAATCTCTCTATCCACTAATTAAAGCATTTTTCTATTTCCAGAGTGATTTAAACATTTTCCTCACTTAACCTCAACTACAAGAAATCCTCCCCCTGGGGGCGCCTTGGTGGCAAAGTTGGTTAAAAGCTGGACTGTTGGTTTCTGGTTTCAGCTCCAATCATCATCTGTCTTGAGATCAAGGCCCCAGTCCGGCTCTGCACTCAAAGGGGAGTCTGCACAAAACTTTCTCTCCCTCTGCGCCTCCCCACTGCTCACTCCCTCTCTGCCCACCTCCCATCCCTCTCTCTCAAATAAATAAATAAATCTTAAACAAAACAAAACAAAATCCTCCCCAAAAACCCTTTGTAGCACCACCTACTGGCAGAATGGCAAAATCTGCAATTCATTTTGATTCAGACTTGCTTTAGGGGGCACCTGGGTGGCTCAGTGGGTTAAAGCCTCTGCCTTCAGCTCAGGTCATGATCCCAGGGTCCTGGGATCGAGCCCTACATCAGGCTCTCTGCTCAGCGGAGAGCCTGCTTCCCCCTCTTTCTCTGCCTGACTCTCTGCCTACTTGTGATCTCTGTCAAGTAAATAAATAAAATCTTAAAAAAAAAAAAAAAAAAAGACTTGCCTTAAAAATCCAAGAAAAATGAATAGACTGTATATTCGATTTTGTTAAGCAATAACTATTACTTTTATAAAATGGTAACAGTGGCATTGGAATTACATTTAAATAGCCCTTACATCTCAGATACACATGCTGAAATATTTATGGAAGACATAAGGCCTGAAATTTGCTTCAAAATAATCCAGTGGGTAAGGAGTAAAAGACAGGGATGGTAGGAGGAGCAAAGATAAAAATAAAATTGGCTTAAAGTTGATTAATGTTGAATTTGGGTAGTAGAAACATGGAATACATTATTTTATTTCCACAAAGACGAACTGAAAATTGTCTCTAAAGGGCAATTTAAAAAAACCACCAACAACAAATACTCGGCTCCAGCTTACTGCATCAAACTTAGATGTTCCTCAATTAAAAAAAAAATCTGTGCAGAGCTGAAAATTATTAATCTTAACATCTACAACTAAGGAAAACAAGCTTCACAGGATGCAAAAAAAAAACAAAAAACAAAAATCAGTCCATATCACAGTTGCCCACTCTACACAAATACTGAAAATGTACATTGCTTGCATAGCTTCAAATTGCTAGGCCAACAAATAAACCAATTCATTGCGGTTCTACATTAAGATGAAAGATGAAAAGTATCTTCATTATCAGCCTGATTAACAAATAGATATTTGAGCTCTTTCATTCAATAGAATTGTTTACGACACACACACATATATTTATAGTGAATGAAAGAGCTCAAATACATAATAATATTTAGAATACCCATTGTAAAGTATTGGTTAATTCAAAGCAACAATTTTTAAAATGGATTGCAATTTCAAACTTATGGAAGCACAGGGTTTCTATTTAGAGAGTTTTACCGAATGTTTACTATACGCCAGACACTGTCCTGGAGTTTTATTCACTTACCCCACGAGGTAGGCATTATTATCCACTCCATACAGATGAGGATACTGAGGCTATAAGAGGTTAAACGACCTCTTAAACTCAGTTCTGTCCTAATTCTATACTACTCTCACTATACAGGGCAGGAAATTTAGACAAGTCCCTTAACCCCTTTACGCCACACCTGTATGATGAAGGAACAGAAATCCAAGATCCTTCTAAAACTATAATTTAATGAAACCAAATCACCAAATCATAATAGTGGCAATCCCTCCCTTTCCCCAAACCCTACCTCAACCTCACATGCAACTTTTGAACACTGAAGGAATAAGAACCCAACACTCGCAACAGGATGTCTCTTATACCTTGGCTGTGGCCTTGATATCCGTGATATTTACAAACCACTGCTTGCTGGCACGAATAACCACTGGTTTCTTAGTCCTCCAGTCATAGGGATAGCTGTGTACCAATTTCTCCTCTTTCAACAAATGCTTTGAAGCCTGAAGCATCTTTATAACTTGAAAAAAAATCAGCAACAATTTACATTAGACATAATTAAAAAGGACTACGAAAATTCTCCTCTCTAATTCCCAGGAGTACTAAACCTGGACCAGTAAGTGCTAGTCGGTAAGAGTAGACACTTACAGCTAACAAGTATAATCTAGGAATCTCCTGGCAAAAAAAGAAGAGACTATAAAACCTTACTGAGACTCAAAATTAAGCCATTTCTGTGCTTTTCACTGCAAAGGAAAGATAAATAGGATAATATCTAAAATTCCACATTTGAAATTCATAGTTATAGTCTTTCATACCATGAATCTTAAAATGGTCTCCAAAAAATCCAGAAGAAACCAGCTATAGTGGACTGCATTTTATCCTCCCAATAGACATCTTAACCCCTAGCACTTGTGAATGTGACCATATTGGAAACAGGGTCTTTGCAGATGTAATCAAATTAAGGTGAGGTCATACTGGTTTCAAGTGGGCCCTAAATTCAATGACTAGTGGCTTCATAAGAGAGGAGGATACACAGAGACACACAAGAGCAAAGGACATGTGACAATGGGGGCAAAGATTAGAGTGATACAGCTATAAAGCAAGGAATGCCAAGGATTACCAGAAGCCACCAGAAGCTAGGAAGAGACAAGGAAGTATTCTTCCACTGAACATTCAGAGGGAGCACGGCCCTGGCAAAACACTGATTTCAGACTTCTAGCTTCTAGAACCATGAGAGTAAATTTCTGTTGTTTCAAGCTATTTAAATATATGGTAATTTGTAACAGTAGTCCTAGGCAAGTAATATACCATGTTTAATTAGCCTTAGTCTTAGTGTGGGCAAAGAAAAGTCTTCATGGTACCTGGTCCTTGGATCCATAATTATAAAAAGTCAGAAAGCCAAGACAAGGCTGGAGGACCCCTACGATCGTAACACATAAACAATGCTAACATGGGCTTAGTGATTTACAAGGGTTACAAAACAGTAGTGTCTGATACACAGTCAACATCTAGCCTCAAGCTTGATTTTATCCTTCCACAAAACTAACACTGCTATATCCCTAAAATAATATCACTCCGTATTGACTGTCCTGCTTTGCTTAACCACATAGAGCAACTTCAAAGCAAAAGATGACAAAGTCCCAACCTCCATTTTAAACCATGTGGCAAAATAAAATAAAATTTTATAGATTTTTGTTTCTAATGAAAGCGTACGATGGAAGAACAGCCAGCAAAGGCTGCTGCTGGCTCCTTTTCAGAAAATACGTATTTATGATAACAACATACATGACACTCACCCACATCTGTTCCCTCTTTAAGGACAGCCTTGTTTTGAAGTTCAGGGCCTGCAACATCTGTGAAAACTCCATCTTCATCCACTAAACAATCCTACAAAGGGTTATTTTCAACAATTAAAGTACCAAAAATTTTATCTTATGGCAATCCCCAGCTAAACAATATATATAAAACGTCTCAGTATTGTCTTTCACTACATTGAAAATCTGGGTACTTCTTATGCAGTTAATAAAAAATCTGTGGATTTATACATTTATATCACAAAAGGCAAAAGGTCTTATTAAAACATGTACCAAAAGTTTATTTATTTTATTTTTTAACATTTTTAAGATTTTGTCGAGAGAGAGAGAAAGAACAAGCACAGGGAGTGGCAGGCAGAGGAAGAGCAGGCTCCCCACTGAGCGAGGAGCCTGATGCAGTACTTGATTCCAGGGCCTCGGGATCATGACCTGAGCCAAAGGCAGACGCTTAATCCACTGAGCCACCCAGTCATTCCATACCACAAGTTTAATAAAAAAAATAAAACCCTCAATAAAATATTAGCAAACTGAACCTAACAATACATTAAAAAAATTAGAAACCACAATCACTTGACATTTAGTCCCTGATGCAAGTGTGGCTCAATATTTGCAAAACAATCATTGTGATATGTCATATCAAAAAGAGAAAGGATAAAAAAATGTTCATTTCAACAGATGCAGATAAAGTATTTGACAAAGTACAACATCCATTCATGATGGAAAAACAAAAGAAAAAAACCCAACTCCCTGCAAAGTAGGTTTAGAGGGAATATATCTGAATCTCAATAAAGTCCTTATAAGAAAAACCCAGAGCCAACATCATACTCAACAGGGAACAACTGAGAACTTTTCCCCTAAGGTCAGGACAAGATAAGGATGTCCACTCTCACCACTTTTATCCAAAGTCCTATTCTCATCAATTAGACAACATAAAGAAATAAAAAGCATCCAAAGTGGCAAGAAGTAGAACTCTCATTATTTGCAGATGACATGATATAATATATTTTAAAATAAAAAAAAAAAAAAAAACCCTTAAAGACTCCGCCAACAAACTACTGGAACTGATAAATGAATTCAGTAAAGTCACAGGACACACAGTCAATGTACAAAAATCTGCTGCATGCCTATACACTAAAAATGAAGCAGCAGAAAGTGAAATTAAGAAAAAAATCCCATTTACAATTATACCCAAAACAATAAACTATCTAGGAATAAACTTAACCAAAGAGGTGAAAGACCTGTACTCTGAAAACTATAAAACACTGATGAAAGAAATTCAATATGACATAAAGAAATGGAAAGACATTCTATGCTCATGGGTTGGAAGAACAAATATTGTTAAAATGTCTATACCACGCAAAGCAATCTACAGATTTAATGCAATCTCTATCAAAATATCAACAGCATCTTTCACAGAATTAGAATAAACAATATTAAAATTTGTATGGAACCATAAAAGACCTCAAACAGCCAAAGCAATCTTGGAAAAGAAAAACAAGACCTAAATGTAAGACCTGAAACCACAATACTCTTTGAGGAGAGCATAGGCAATAATGTCTCTGACATTGGCCATAGCAACATTTTTCTAGATATGTCTCCCAAAATGAAAGCAAAAACAAACTACTGGGACTATATTAAAATAAGTTTCCGCACATCGAAGGAAACAATCAACAAGACTAAAGGGCAAACTACGGAATGGGTGCAAAGGACATATCTCATAGAGGTTTAGTATCTAAAATATATAAAGAACTTACAAAACTCAACAACACACGAATTCAAAGGGATAAATGCACCCCATGTTTACTGCAGCATTATTTACAATAGCCAAACTATGGAAGCAGCCCAAATGCCCATCAATTGATGAATGGATAAAGAAGATACAGTGTACACACACACACACACACACACACACACACACACACACACCACAGGAATATTATTCAGCCATAATAAAGAATGCAACCTTGTCATCTGCAACAACATGGATGGAGCTGGAGAATGCCAGGTTCAATGAAGTCAGTCAGTCAGAGAAAGACAAATACCATATGATCTCACTCATGTGTTTTTGTATTTTGGGGGGTAAATACCCAGTAGTGTGATTACCAGATTATAAGGTAGATCTATTTTTAACGTTTTGAATACACTTATCGTGAGGAAAAATAAAATAAATTTTGAAAAAGTAAAATATACTAAAAATATCTTTAACTCAGTCTTTATTAATTTCCAGATCTATGGCAATGTACATACATCATGCTGACTTTGGGATGCATCCTTAACTAAATGGGAAAATTTTGTAATTGGCATGTATAACATAAATTTAGAAATGTCTATTTAGGGGTGACTGGGTGGCTCAGCCGGTTAAGTGTTTGCCTTCAGCTCAGGTCATGATCTCAGGGTCCTGGGATGGAGCCCCGCATTGGGCTCTCTGCTCAGCAGGGAGCCTGCTTCTCCCTCTCCCTCTCCCTGCTGCTCTGCCTACTGGTGATCTCAATCTCTCTCTCTCTGTCAAATAATAAAAAATCTTTAAAAAAAAAAAAAAGAGTCTGTTTACTTTAAAAAATAAAAACCAAGGTGCCTGGGTGGCTCAGTGGGTTAAGCCTCTGCCTTAGGCTCAGGTTATGATCCCAGGGTCCTGGGATCGAGCCCCACATTGGGCTCTCTGCTCAGCAGGGGGCCTGCTTCCCTTCCTTTCTCTCTGCCTGCCTCTCTGCCTACTTGTGATCTCTGTCAAATAAATAAGTAAAATCTTAAAAAATAAATAAATAAAATAAAAAAATAAAAACCAAACAGTTCTTTTCAACTAGTAAAACCTATTTGCCATTTTTCAGGAACTAAAAGTAATTTGTCTATATGAATTAGTATTTTGAAAGAAAAAAACTGTCCCTGCTTAATATGTATTTTTCAATTCTAACTTTGTGCTGACTTTGTGTTAGGAAAATCTTTCTCAACTAGTATGAATTAATGAGGCATTAGAGGACTGAAGAAACCTAAGCACTTCACAACTTAATTGTAACAAAAACGATGGCTTATTCACCAAGAAATAAAGATGCTAGTTAGGACTTACCACCTTAGTTCTACAAAAGCAGTATTTAAAAAGGAAAAAAAGAGGCAAAATTACCGTGGGCAGGTTGTGCTGAGAAGCCACACTGTAATCTTCCATACCATGAGCTGGGGCTGTGTGAACCAACCCTGTTCCTTTTGTCATGGTCACATGATTTGCAGGTAAAAGAGGAGAGTCTTTATCGGGAATTAAAGGATGAGCACAAGTACCAGTTTCCAAATCTACACCTGTGGGGAAAGAAAACCATAATTAAGACTTACTTTACATGACAACCTGCTCCCTCTTCAACAGGAGCAACAGAACAGGAAGTGAAAGGTGCAGGATCTGGAAGGAGACTGGGCTCAACCCTCTACTTCCCCTTTTACTTGTACTGGGACCTTTAGGAATCTGTAATACATGGATAATTACAATTCCTCCCTCAGAGGCTTGCCATGAGGATAAACTGAGGTAAAGCATTTTACTTATGTTGGGCCCTTGGCACAATACCTGCCACACAGTAAAATGATTTAAAATATTAGCAACTGTTGGAACAGATAACTCCAATGGGCCCAAGAAGACTTCTCTAATTTCTCTAAATTATATATGGCTTTTGGAACATAAGGACAACGAAGTTGTAGATAAGAGATCAATGACCAGTAGGTTCTAACACTATCTCTGTGGGACCTCTTTGTTGTTGTTTTTCATGTTACCCTAAAAAGGTAAGAGATAATAAATACTACCTAACAGTCACTAGGTACCCGGGGTATACTGGACTCAACATAATTCTTACTTCATCTTCATAATACCACAAAACACCTAAGATTATCTGCATTTACAAATCAGAAAACAAGAAAATGTAGGCAATTTGCCTGAGGTTACATGGCTAATATATGACTAAAATCAACTTCCAGGGCAAGTATGACTCGAATGTTCCATCTAACTCCAGCGTCTCTAGTCATGAATCATACCCATCATCCATCAGTTTTTCTACACCATTAGTAATGTTTCTCACCTTTACTACTTCTTGACTTGGGTTCTATAAATTTCTTTCACATATTGTAAAAATAACATAAATAAATAAGTCTCCAAACTTCAAAAAGATTACCTGGCTCTACCTGTACATTTACTAACATGTACTAAGTAAGTGTGTTATCATATCTACTCTTCTTCAATAATTAAAGAAATGCCAATGGCCCCTTTACTCCTAAGATCTTCCCCACAAATCATCCTTCATTTTCCCAAACTAAATAATATTAACTTAAAAAAAAAAAAATCTGTCCTCATAGAGGAATGTCTCCACTTTCATAATCCTCTTTTCCAGCTGTAGAGCAATAAAAAGTAACCCATTCAATAGCACTAGAACAACAAAAATCTTGTAACTTTGACATTTCATAGATAACTCTGTTGCTGATTTCATTTTGGTTAAAATAGCACAGTGAGTAAAAGGCTTGAGAAAAACTAACAATCCCTTATAATTGATAACAGGGAACTCCCTTTTCTGAAAAAAAAAAAAAAAAAAAAAACACAAGTTCTTCTCGCTGGTTGACTTGGATGACTTGGCACTTTATTTCTTCTGTTTCAAATACCTGAGTTACTAGGAAAAAACTTGAATACTTCAGGATGCATTTTTTCCAAGATAATTCATAAGGCTGTTAAAGAAGAAAACTGTCAACACTGATTTTTAGAGAAATCTACTGTTTAGTTTTCACTGATTACTTTCTCTAAATTAGATTCATAAGTAAGGCCAATCCCCATGACCCTACGTTGTACTTTTCATGGATTTTTCAAGGGTCAGGGTGAAGTAAATTTCATGTATTAACTGTCCTTTATCCCCATACTTAGTGTATCTACTACTTAATACTCTCCCTCACCTCCCAACAAAGATCTCTTAATGATAGGGACGCCTGGGTGGCTCAGTTGGTTAAGCATCTATCTGCCTTCAGCTCAGGTCATGATCCCAGGGTCCTAGGATTGAGTGCCACATCGGGCTCCTTGCTCAGCAGCGAGCCTGCTTCTCCCTCCGCCTGCTGCTCCCTGCTGCTTGCACACTCTCTCTCTCTGACAAATGAATAAATAAAATCTTAAAAAAAAAAAAAAAGATCTGAGTGATCAATAAAAAACAATTTGTATCTTTCTAGAAAGACAAATCTATTCTACACAAATTATTCCACTTCAGCTGTTCAAAATCCCTACTACTTAATAAGTAATAAGCTAACTGTCACCAATTTATTTTGCTACAGATGAGAAGTGTATCTACTCCTCTGAAATGCAGTGGCTCAAAAGGGCAACCTAATGATTCTCTGACAGTAATAATCTGAAACAATTACCCAATCCAGAAAGGTGATCTAAAATTTTACCTGAGCACTCTCCAACACCTTGTGAGAACGCCATTCAGCGTCTACCACAACATCTAACTTGTCAATGAAGTCTGTAACACCTTCTGCACTTGAAAAAGGGGTAGGAGGGGATTTGGAATAAAGAATATACGAGATCCAATAACCTACTTATTGTACCAATAAGGACCAAATAGTATTAAATATCAAACATTTTGTAGCTTCTTTCCTGTTTTTGACATAAAATCCTTTTTATATTTGTTAAGATTACTTAACCTTCTAACTGGCTTGTATCTGAAATGATATATTTAGAGGGCTTCTCAATTTAGCTAGACAATCCTTCCATTTTGGGGTGTCTCTACTCCTTCTACTCATGTGGTTTTTTAAAATGTATTTATTTATTTTAGAGAAAGAGAGAGCACAAGCAGAAAGAGGAGAGGCAGAAGAAGAGAGAATCTCAAGCAGACTCTAGGCTGAATGTGGAGCTTGACTCAGGGCTCAATCTCACACCCCTGAGATCAAGACACGAGCCGAAACCAAGAATTGGACACTTTTCCAAGTGAGCCACCCAGGTGCCCTGTGATTTTTTTTTTTTTTTTTTTAAGTAAGAAACTCAAGAAGCTCAAAGATGTATGATCCCTAAAGATCAAAGGTGATTTTAAATTTCCCTAGATTTTAATAATTATATTTCAAAACCAGTCAATACTTTAGAAGTCCCAAATTACAGACTAAGGATTCTTCTGATAGAAGTGTATCTTTAGAATAATTCTCAGAATTTACTAAGTTTCCTCATTAAAATCATATACCAAAAAAATACATTTATTTCCTTCCTTGTACTTTTGATTAAATCAGATAAAGGTTAATTTTTAGTGATTTAATTTTGAATAAAATTTTAAAAGGGTATTTGTACATTCTACATTGTTCAAACGGCATTTACCTAATTTTAATTGGATATTTGCCAGAAATACTGTTGTGCTTCTGTCAGTGTTCATATTTTCTAAACTCCTACCATGTTTAATATATATTTTCCTTTACTATAATCAATGTAAAATATATTCTAGAAAGGTAGAGGCCATATCTGTTTTGATTCACAATGCAAAATATTCAGCAAAGTAGTAAACTCAAATCAAATGGATATACTGATAATTGTAATGGTCAGAATATCTATACACCTTTACCTGAAAATGTTGAAATAACCTCAAATGTTGTTTCCAAAGCAGAAGCAACAGATGTTACTTTATCTGCAGCAAGTACGTACAGACCTCCAGATTTGGAACATTTCACAACAGCATACCTAAAATAAAATTTTAAGAGAAAATTACTAATAATAAAAAAAGAAAGGCCACAGATAATATTTTTAAATGTTTTACATCATTTTGGAAAAACAAATTTCATGATCAAAAAAAGCACTACTTTCAAAGAACTTCATCTGTTACATTTGTCTCATTTTTCTTTTCTTTTCTTTTAAAGATTTTTATTTGAGAGAGTGAGCAAGACAGCACAAGCCTGGATAGGGCGGGGGTGGAGAGGGAGAGAGGGAAACAGACTCCCCACTGAGCAGGGAAACCAACGTGGGGCTCGATCGTAGGACTCTGGGATCGTGACCTGAACTGAAGGCAGACACTTAACTGACTAAGCCAACCAGTCGCCCCATATTTGTTTCGCTTTTCAAAAAAGCTGGAAATGATGTCTTCAATGGAATCATTTCTTTTTTTTAAGATTTTACTTATTCATTTGACAGAGAGAGAGAGATCACAAGTAGGCAGAGAGGCAGGTAGAGAGAGAGAGGGAAGCAGGCTCCCTGCTGAGCAGAGAGCCCGATGCGGGCTCAATCCCAGGACCCTGGGATCGTGACCTGGGCCAAAGGCAGAGCCACCCAGGCGCCCCTTCAATGGAATCATTTAAAGCTTAATAAAATCTATGAACATCACAACTAAATTATAACTCACTAAATTTTAAGAGAACGATCAAATGAAATAAATCCAAAATAATGCTAATGATGGAATAGATCTTATTTGTGGATAAAACAAAAAATACAGTGATATACTTACTTTGCGTCTGGCATATAACAAACAGCTTGATTGGCTGGAATTGTCCAAGGCTGGGTGGTCCAGATTAAAAAACTAATAGGAGATGAACCATCTGTGAAAATAAAATTGCAAATATGCTAGCAAATGTTACAATTCTGTAACTTTAGCAAACACAAGCAACGATAAATCTTACCTATGAGAGACACCAACTGGGGAGAAGGTTTCAGGAGAGGGAATTTTACATATATTGCACGACTGACATGCTCAGGATTATACTCAAGTTCTGCTTCAGCTAACGCAGTCCTAAGGTTTAAGAATATTAGACATAAATATTTGAGGGACTCACAAAAGTCTCCACTTTAATTACTAAAAACACATACATACCTTGATGAGGGAGACCAAAACACAGGTTTGTAAGATCGATAAATCAAGCCCTATAAAAGACAAATATATTATATGAAAGCTGGAATTTTATAACACATAATTTAACATACTCAAAGGAAAACGAATACTTCATTACCTTCTCATACATTTGGTAGAAAACTCTCAACTGTTTGGCCTCATATTTTCTATCAAATGTATAGTAGCAATTATTCCAATCTGCCATTATTCCCCAACGAATAAATGCTGATCTCTGTTTCTCAATTGCTGCTTCAGCAAATGATCTAGCTAAAAAAAAAATTAAGAGAGAAAAGTATTTGAAAACCAATAAATTCAAACTCTTAAACATGGTTTAGTATGTAGGTCTCTAAATGGAGGTATTGTACACAGTGTGCATACCATAAAATGTATTTTTTTAAAGATTTTATTTATTTATTTGACAGACAGAGATCACAAGTAGGCAGAGAGGCCCTCAGAGAGAGAAGGGGAAGCAGGCTCCCTGCCAAGCAGAGAGCCCAATGCGGGGCTCAATCCCAGGACCCTGGGATCATGACCTGAGCCAAAGGCAGAGGCTTTAACCCACTGAGCCACCCAGGCGGCCCCATAAAATGTATTTAATAGGAAAATTATTTTGAAAGTTAAAGGTGTTCAGAAGATAACTAGAATTCTAAAATTAATTAGAATTTTAAAAATACTTTCCAGACTTTATATAACGACATTTAGAAAAAAATAAACTGGAAAAATTATTCTCATATTTCTTAATTTAAGATAAGAGAATGATTCTTTTTTCATTACACACAGAAAAAGTAATCAGTACATCTAGCTTAAGCCAATACTAAGACATTCTACAGTGAAGTAAAAAATCTTCACAATAACATCTAAGTATATAATAGTTTTAGAACACAAAATTCCTCCCTGACCCAATGTACTGAAGGATCAAATAAGATTAATTTTAAAAATATATATATGTATTTTAGAATTGACTTTTCGTCTAGCACTCAAAATAGGACAATGAGTTCCAGCCAGGAAAGTAAATGAAAACACTGAGCACAATAATAATTTCACAAATATGAAGATCAAGGAACTGAAAAATGGACTTGGAAATATTCCCAAATCTTTCCTTCAGTCTCTGAACATAAGTTCTCACAAAAAAAGCCAATTAAACAGAATCTGAATTTGCTATGATAAAACCTGGTTTCTAATAAATCCCATTATAGCCAAAAAAACAAAAACAAAAAAACAACAGAAACTCTCTTTGATTTAGCCGTGGCTTTTCCGAGGAACCAGCATTTAAGAATAATCATTTCAAAACAGAAAGAGAGATTATTTACTATTTACCTTTCTCTCTAATTTCCACAGCTGAAAGATTCTGAGCTTTTCCACCAAGTTCTGATAATACTTTTATTTCAATGGGTAACCCATGACAATCCCAGCCTGGAACATAATGTATTTTGGAACCTCTCATCATATGGTATCGATTGGCTATATCCTTCAAAATCTGCAAAGATAAGATGATAATCATCATTCATACATAAAGCATGTGACCTAGTTATATTCCTTTTTAAAAAATGTTTTATTTAAATTCAATTTAGTTAACATATAGTGTGTTATTAGTTTCAGGGTAGAATTTAGTGATTCATCAGTTGCATATAACACCAGTGCTCATTACATCATGTGCCCTCCTTAATGCCCATCACCCAGTTACCCCCATCCCCCACCCACCTCCCCTCCAGCAACCCTCAGCTTGTTTCTTATAATTAAGAGTCTCTTATGGTTTGCCTTATATCATAGTAAAACACTGAGAAAGCCCAATTTTAAAAGGATTTCTATAAACAAAACAACCTATTAACTCAAGTTCTACATAAATACAAAAGTAACACGTATTTGAAGTTTTAAAATGCCATTAACTCCAGAAAACAAATCAAATAAAATATTTCAAAGTGAAAAACATTATGCCCAGAATTAAGAATTTGTTTGTGGGGGCGCCTGGGTGGCTCAGTGGGTTAAAGCCTCTGCCTTCGGCTCAGGTCATAATCTCAGGGTCCTGGGATCGAGTCCCGCATCGGGCTCTCTGCTCAGCAGGGAGCCTGCTTCCTCCTCTCTCTCTCTCTCTCTCTCTCCCCCCATCTCTCTGCCTGCCTCTCTGCCTACTTATAAAATAAATAAAATATATATTTAAAAAAAAGGAATTTGTTTGTGAAGTTGGAATATGCAAAAAAGCAGCCTATACTGCCTTTCTAAGAAACAGTTTTGACCTCCTAAAAACCAGAGTAAAAATGTCAGTTATAAATTTGCTTTACTTATTAAAAACATTATTAACATGAATAACCTGAGTTATATACAGTTAAGAAATAGTATAAAATCAATGCAGAATTTATAATGTCCTTAAAGTATAGAGTATCACAGTTAACTCTATCATTGACAAAATTCTTACTAAAACACTAGACCTCTTCACTAGGTATAGTTCTATAACTGATTTCCCTTCTTAGTTTAGAGACTTGATTTATTTAATCAGGTCCCACTAAGGACATCCAGCGTGGGCTACCAATGTAAGTTAAGCCTACCTGCTCTAATCCAGTCAGGCACCCCTTCAAGCAAAAGCTGAATGAAGAGACTAGACTTTTCACCTTTGCAAATTTGTCACAGGGCCCCCTCAGCCCTCCTCCCTGGCCAGGATGGTGTAAAAAAAAAAAAAAAATCAAGTAGCAAGTGGGGACTACATCCCTGTGGGTGGCAATGAGACCCCATCACGTAGGCAGCCTGGACTTCCATCTCCCCCAGCAGCAATGAGGCACCCCTGCCTGTTTCCCCTCGGGTGCTCCGAGGAGGCTTACTGTACAGTTGGGATGTTCACCACTGCCCAGTGGTAACAAGGCCACCTCCTCCTCCCCTGGTATCACAAGAGGCCACGCAGAGCAATAACATGACACACTAGCACTTTCTAGCTGGGGAGTAACAGTGGAGGTTTAGGGGGAAGGAGAGCTCTCCCGCTGAGCAGTAAGAAGGAGCCTCCCCTACCCTGCCTGAGGGTTAGAAGAGGTTGAGTGGGAAATGTGGACTTCTGCCCCCAGACAGTGACCCCCTTCTTCTGCTGGAGAGGTGTCAGTGAGTAAAAGCTGCTAAAACAGAATGCTTAAAGAAGATGCAGACTCCCAAACAATACAAAAATGTTAAGGTTTCAATAAAAATTCACTCATCATACCCACACTAAAGATTTGAATCTGAATGAAAAAAAGAAAGTCCATAGATAGCAACACTGAGATGACAGAGATGTTAGAATAACCTGAAAAAGATTTTAAAGCAACTATGATAAAAGTGGTTAAGCAAGCACTGTGAACACACTTGAAAAATATGAAAAAATAAAGTCTCAAAGAATTTGTAGGAAGAGAAAAAGTAGATGGTATATTTTAAATAGAGGTATAACTGAAATATCAAATGTAAATTTTAAAAGTGAAAATAACTAAAAGTGAAGCAGTAACTGAGACAGAAATTCAGTGGATGGGCTCGCCTACAGAATGGAGGGGACAGACAGAACCACTAAACTTCACGACTTAATGATAAGTACTACATCTAAAAAGCAAAGACGAGAAAAGACCGGAAAAAACTGAAAATCAGGGAGTTGTGGGACTATCACAAAAGATCTAACACTGGTGTCACTGCTACCCTGAAAGGGTAACGAAAAAGTAAGGGCCAAAAACTCTGCAAACTGGTTGGAGACATAAACCTACAAAAAGTCAAGAAGCTGAATGATGTCCAACATGAAATATCTAAAGAAATACACACCAAGAGACATCCTCATTCAACTTCTGAAAATGTAAATGTCTTAAAAGACATCGGAGATTGGGGCAACTGGCTAACTCAGCCAGAAGAGCATGAGATTCTTGATCTTGGGAGCATGAGTTCTGGCCTCATACGTGGTGCAGAGATTACTTAAACAAAACTTAAAAAAAAAAAAAAAAAGTCAGAGGAAAAAAAAATCCTACATGCAGCAAAAATATACTTGAAGGATAAAAGGAAACTCAAGACATTATCAGATGAAAGAAAGCAAAGATGATTTTTGACCAGCAGACCTACCCTAAGTAAAGGCTACAAGAAATTCTCTAAACAGAAAGAAAACAAGAAAGGAATGTGGAAATATCAAGAAGGAAGAAAGAACATGGTAAACAGAGATACGGAGGTAAATACCATAAACTTTCTATTTACTCAAATCTTCAACTTATGTTTCACAGCTGAAAAAATAACTATCAAACACTGTCTTACCAAAACAGAAACGTATGTGAGGAAATATGTAAGAAAAGTCATGAATACAGGAGGGTAAAGGGATGGAAAGGCAAACAAACTTCTAACCAATCCATGGACCAATGAGGGATTCTCAAGAGAAATCTCAAAATATAATGAACTGAATACAAATGTAAACTAAATACAACATATCAAAATTTGTGGAACACAAGCTCCAGAGTGCTAACAAAAATGTATAGCAATAAAATGCGTATGTTAGAAAAGACAAAAAGTCTGCTCAAAAGCATAAAATCTTACCTCAAGAAACTACAAAAAGAACAAGTGAACACAAAGCAAGCAGAAGCAAAGAAATAACAAAAAGCAGAATTTGATAAAGTTAAAAACAGAAAAGAAAAGAGAAAATTCAATGAACACAGAGCCTGACCTTGGGCATGACAGTGCAATGAACTACATGGCCACACTTCCCAGTAAAACTGGGGAAATAATAATTTTAAAACCCAACCTGTAAAACTCCTGGAAATGGCCCTAACAGTGTACAGCAGATGAAGAAACATGTACATGAGAAAAAATCTATAAAAATTTGGTAAGAAAAGTGAGAGTCTGTGGCATGTGAACCAAGATCATTCCCTCTCTCCAGCCTGCCAGCTCAGACAGGCAGATAATCAACTCAGACCAGTGCAGCCAAGAGCATAGGCTCCCTCTCGCTCTAGCTCCCAGCTCAGGGGCTGTCTTCCCCAGCAAGCATTTATGTCCGTATTTATGACCCTGCCCCAGCCACCTGCTCCCGAAGCCAAGTTCCAGGCAAGTGCAGTCAAGAGGTAAGGGACGCCCTTCCTCCACTTGGCTCCCACTCCTGGAAGAGAAACTCTACCTTGGCTTCAAGTCTGCTGGGAATACTGAGGCTCCGATCTAACTTGTCCAGATTCGTACATGGTGGTTCCACAACAGGAAAGGCAGGTCAAGATCACAGCCTGACTCTCCTACAAGTGTTCAACACCGAAAGTAGGGGTATCTCTCACAGAGAAGTATACAGTTGTCCCCACTCTCGGCTGCAGAACCCTGGCTGGGAGATTTTCTCTGAGGGGAGGAAAAGGCTGTAAAACAAAACAAGTACCTCCTAATCCCTTCCCAGCAACAGAGCATAGAGAAATTCAGGCCTGAGGGTTCTGTATAAAACAGCAGAGGCTATGGGAAAGGCAGTTGGAAGAAGGTTCATTGATCCGAGATGACACAGGCTAAAACGGAACTCGGCTAGTTTGCAGGAGAAAACTGGAAGAGACCGCTGGGAGGAGCCCTCCTGGATCAGAATGAGCGTCAAACACTGACACCAGGACCGGATACTCGGGAGGATCCCAAATCTGATGGATTAGACTACAGGACAGTTTATGCCCCAGAGTGTTGTGGAAAACAATAGAGAAAACAGCTGGTAATTTTCAGACAAAACTCATCTGTTTTCCTCTGAAAATTTCCAACTGTTTTCTCTATTGCTTTTAATAAAAAGCCAGGAGGGAGAAGGGGATCCAAGAGGTAATTATTCAGATTTATTAGAATATATTATCTAAAATGCCCAGTTTTCAACAACAACGACAAAAAACCTCTAAGACACGTAAGAAAATATTTCTTATCACCAGCATCCACTGCTGTACACATGCACGAGGCTCACCTCTGCAGCTACACAACCACATGCCAACGACCAAGGCTCCCACGCTTGCTGTCCCCACAGGCCCAGATCCAACCCTGACTCCCACCCCTCACCTGCATGGCTGTCAGCACCTGCAGCTAGCTACCCCAGGAGTCCCATAAATGCATGCTGACAGCCAAGGCCACCAAAATTGCTTACAGGTCTGGATCTGCCCGATTCCTTTCACTGACCTGTGCGTTGTCAGCCCCAACTCCCGTGACCAACCTCTATCACCATGCATAGGCGTGTGGCTCACCACAGCAGTTACAGTTCTAGACACCAACAGCCAGGGCCCCTGAACTGACTATTTGCCTAAAGGTGGTCCTGGACACTGCTCCTGGCTCTGACCATCACCACTGCCTATGTCTGCAGCTGGCCCCTACCACCACATCAGGACCTGCAGCCAGCCCCCGAAACCAAGTATGGGCATATCATTGGCTTAGGCCACTGCTACCACCTGCCCTGATCTCTGGCCAATGGACCTGAAGCACGGCTGAGTTCCCCAACAGCCCATATTCCCACGGCAAACCCTCCACAGATTTCACCGATGATCATACTGCTGTTGATGTGGATCCTAA